GCTACTTGCCAGGGCGGCTTTATATACTGCTAGGGACAGCACAGGTGCTGACCCCAGGTTCTAGCTCCCCCTAGCTGCAGATCCGGGAGGATCGAGGCAGGGTTATTTTGCCCCAGGTGACACAATTCGCTCTACAACAAAGTGCAATGTCCAAGCATGTGTGATGAGGCAAAAAGCCCCGGCTCAAATTTGCACCGCTTCTATTTGAGTTTCTGCAAGCGCATGTGCTTGCATGTGTGGACCCGCCCATTGTAGCTGGTAAAGAAATGCAGCCAGAGCCCAGTGAAATGTGAAGTTTCTCAACAACTTTAACAATGACTAGGAATGAATCCCACATTAAATTATGTGGTCTTACACTGAGGGCCACAGGATGGCATATATATCTGCTCAGATGTCAGCAAGCCTTCATTCCTTGAGCAAGAGAAAGCAACAGTAACTTCCAGGAGAGAGTTAGTCCTGCAGTGTCTGTTAAAGGAGGAGAGAATGCCTTTCCTAGGGCTACCATATTTTCAATTTCAAAAAAGAGGACTCCTGTGGAAGGGAGGGAAGATATATGATTGGGGCAGGGGGGAAGAAGTTATATGTCCATGCCCTGCCACTGTCCCTGCCCCTCACTCCCAACCCACAGCCCCCACAGCCCTGCTGCTGCCCCTCATTCCTGACCCACAGTACCCTGCCTGCCAGACCATGCTGATGCTCCTCACTTCCAACCCACAACCCCCTGCCCCCCAAAAACTTGCTGCTCACACAGCTCCCTGCTGCCCCTGAAGCTTCCCCCACCCCTCTCCCCCACCTCCTCACCCTGCTACAGCCCCAGTGCCAGCAGGCATGCATGTGTGCACACAGACACACACATATGCACTCGTTCACTCTCTCTCTCTCTCTCTCTCTCTGTCTTACCTGCCTGCAGCTGCCAGGGCCCATGCACAAAGCACATGATGCCCAGCCTCCAGTCACCTTCCCTTGCTGCCCCCAGCACCAAGCAGCTCCTTGCTGGGGCAAGCCAGGAAAGCAGAGGCAGAGCAAAATCCCGAACATTTGCTGACATTTTAAAAAGCCACCCAGATGGAGATGGGAGGACCCAAAAAGAGGATGTCAGGGAAAACCCAGATGTATGGTAACCCTAGCTTTCCTCCTTTTCTTGTGCAGTTTGAGGTGTGCAAAGGGGAGAGGTCAAGCACAAAGGTGAAGTGAGCATGTCTGGAGAACAAGGGCGAGAGACAGAGGTGAATAGAAAGGTTATTAGCAGGCAGTGACAGTAGTATTGGATCACAAAGAGAACCTTCACCGAAAGCTAAAAATGTGTTGCTGGTACAGCTGCAAAACATTCAGAATAAGTATTTAATAGAGAGACGTGCCCTTGCTTATGAGGGTCAGGATAGAAAAACTGAGAAATACGGACAGAGCAGATTTCTGCTGCCTGGTACTAACAGTATTGCTCACATCATGCACCCAATGTGGTGGCCTATCATCCAGGTTGCTGTATTGGCACTCAGGAGCCTGAATTCTTTTCCCACCTCTGCCACTGGCCCTGCTGAGTGAATGTCGGCAAGTCATTTCACCTTTCTGTGCCTCAGTTCCCAGTTGTGTAAAACGACGAGAACACTGATCCCCTTTATAAAGCTCTTGGAGCTCAACATGATATGAGAGGTAAGTATGATCATTAAAGAGCACCTTTTTTAGATATTAGATAGATGCTGATGCCAGTTGGTCAGTTTAAGAGAGTCACTTTCATTATATTGGCTAAAGCCAACCTCTAGAAGCTCTTGTTTAATCAACTAAAAACTGGCACTGAAAAGACTCCAACCGTCAAATTCTAGTTAATCATCCATATAGAAGACCATAGAAGAAAATATGTAAATAATATGTAAATCTTTAAATGTTATCAGCTCATCATCCTAAACCAGAATTTGAGCTGGGCAATATATGTAGTATTAAAAGTAAAGCTATGGGAAGTTTCAAGGTTTCTCTTTTCATATTTTGTTACAGTCTTGATAATGGGCTCAGTTTATGGGCTCATAAGATTTCATTAATACACACCCAGTCCTTGAGCAAAATGAGGTTCACTTTCCAGTGGAAACAGGCTAGTTTCCATGCTACTACTATTTCTGCCAAGAATTCTCAAATGACCTATTAAGTCAGTTTTAATACCCCCTTCGCTGCATCAAACCACTGCAAAGGGACCATTGTCAAGCCAAGAATTTGGTCTGTTGACTTCAGTGGCATTATACCGGGAAGGAATTTGATCCTGTATGCTGAGGATACAAAGTTCTCATTAATGATCACAGACCTGGGGGACAGCAGAACTGTTAGGCATCTATTTTAATGAAATTATACAATATAAGCACACCTTTTAAAAGAATTACCATTTCTGGCAAATGAAACTAGAACCATTAACAGCAGTGTAAGACTTGTCTAGACAAAATAATCTGGAATCAAATAGGAAGTAAGTGTAAACTGGAGTAGTTATTCTGGATTGAATGCATATGTAGGTGCTCTTATTCTGGCATCTGTAAAGACCCTTTGTGGATTAATTTAATCCATTTTGAAAATGAGGTAGATTAAAATACAAACAGTAGCACAGCAGGGGTACACAAATCAGTTACTGCCAGGTCAAAGGACGTGGGGGTTCATGATACGTCATCTCTTCTGCAGTAACTGCTTATATGCACATTCTTCCTCTGAAAGAAGAAAAGAAAGCCTTAAGGGCTAAACTACTGTGATTTAGCTTTCATTTACAATGAGGTAAGAGCATGCATGAGGTCAGTTATGGTAGACTAGCTGATGGGCAGTAAGTCCTTATCTTTTGTTCCATAGGAACTAATTTATGTGTATGTATCCTTATTCTGAAATCAGAGCATTGGCATTGGAAATTGATCTGGAATAGCTAACCCACAAGATTTGGTCAAAAAAGAACTTTTCTGAAATAAAGCCATGTGTAGACAAGCCCTTATTTTATGAAGAACTGGGGAAATCTTACCAGGGTCAAGTTGACTAATTTGCCCAGGTTTATGGGCAATCACTATTTTAATTTGCAGTATAATCCCTGGGAACAGATGAGGGAATCAGTGCTTTATAAAACAGACATTTTGGAGATTGGAAACCTTTTTTCCACTATCAGAAGATACACTTTTTTTGTCTGGGCCATTGTCTGCAAACAGTTTATTTCTGCAACCAAGTGAAATGTCTTGGCGGCTGTCCTACAAATGCTTTAGCAAAGGGGAAAATCAAATTGCTGTCTCCCTGTGAACATTGTAACATGTAAGCAATGAAAGTGAAGTTAATTGGTTCCCTACTTCGAAATGTTTAATAACTCTAGAGGGGTAGGAGGTATTGTTCTCCTTCTTGACTCTATATTAAGTTTAGAGTTTTCTCTCTTACCATATGTAAGATCACAGAAACATAGAAAAATAGGGTTGGATGGGATCTCAGGAGGTCATCTGGTACAATTCCTCCATGCTCAAGGCAGGATGATATTTCCCATCCTAGTCTAATATTTGTCTAACCCCCTTTAAAACATTTCCACAAACTCTCTGACCAGGTGGCACATTGGCCACTGAGGTCTGCAACTTGAAGACATTTGTGTAGCTTCTCATTCTCCAGGAGTTCCACAAATCTACAAAGCTATTTAGTTTCTAGGGTGCCCTATGGGCTATATGGATATATCTTAGACCAAATGAGTTTGCAAAAGATATCAGAGCAGAGGTAGGAGGGGAGTGTAGAGCACTCATTTAGAATGAAGTGTAATTTCAAGGTTTATTCATCAAAAATCTAATAAGCATGTACTGCGGTTTTAAAGAGTAGGGTTATTCCATCTGAAGAGTACCAATAGTAGTACTGCTACTGTTATTTTTTTGTTTTCCCAAAAGAAAGATACTATGCTATACTATGCTATGACTTCACAATAAAAGTCTGCCTTCATGGTACACAACAAATTTCCTTCAGTGATAAGGCAAAATTTCTTTCATTATACTTTTCAAGATTAACCTAGATCAGGATGGCATTATATCTGCTTTTAAACATTCCTCCTTAGTGCAATATTCTCTGAATATTTTTATTGATTTCTGTAAAAAGAGTAATCCCTTTATTGCAATAACTAGCAAGGCAGGCAGTTTAGCATGTATCACATAATTTATTCCAGGTTTTAGATTTCCATATTTATTCTGAGGTATTTTTTTTATTCTGGAGTATTGCAAAGGATATGTTTTCACAAATAATTTTGGCAATTTCTTGGACTGAAGCATGAATAGCAGTCTTCTAACTTCAAAATCATTGTTTGACCACAGCTGTTAAATGAAACATTACGCTTCTCAGCAATTCAAGTATATATCCTCTTAGCAAAGGAAAGAACATAAATTGTGATTCTAACCAAAATCAATTAGATCCTTAAGATGAACAAAAGTGGGAGGAAGATTTTGAGATGGAACTAGAAAGGTCAAATCATTTGTTCAGTTATTCGCAAGTACTGGAAACATAAAAACGTATTTAAATCCATGGTTTTGAGTTTCCATTCTATGTAGGTTTTAACGGTGTACACAGTCAGGCCCACTGCATCTTAATTATAAGAATGTAAATTTGAGACTGGTATGTTCCTTCCAAGCTTCTAGCAGATACCTAGGTTAATATAAAGTTTGGCCCTTCTTTCAAATCTCCTGATGTCCTCATATCAGCTCTTGTTTGGGTTGATAGTTAAGAATGATAACAATAATGGAATGGCATTATTACAGTCTACAAAATAGGATAAGATGTGCAATTACCATTGTAAGGTTTATTTGTAATAATATGTGCAATAAATGCAAAAGGCAGCTGCTGCACTGTTGGGTGGTTTTACATTGTTTTGCTTCTGTTTACCGTGTGATAACCCAGGGTAGGGCAGTTTAAATGACCTCCACTGAGAAAAAATGACGTACTGGAAATGTTCCAGCAGCTCTTTCAAGCCATTTAAGTACAGGATGTTCAGC